ACTGACTCGGTCAGTGAGTCCAGTTCAGTGCAGTAATCTGCTGATCAGGTGTACGGTGTCATCATATTCTTTAGAGTCACTATGAACATGGGTGTGGCACAACCATGAAAACAGATTAATATAAACATTAAAGTGGGTTTTGAATAACCATGGAAAAGATTGTAGCGTAACCATGGAAATGGTTGCAAAGTAACCATTGAAGCGGTTGCAGCATGATGACAGAAAATAATGTAAATTGTGTAGCATAACCATGGAAACAAGCGTGGCGTAACCATGGAAATGAGTGCAGCGTAACCATGGAAATGAGTGTGGCATAACCGTGGAAATGAGTGTGGCGTAACCATGGAAATGAGTGTGGTGTAATCGTGGAAATGAGTGTGGCGTAACCATGGAAATGAGTGTGGTGTAACTATGGAAATGGGTGTAACGTAACCATGGAAATGAGTGCGGCGTAACCATGGAAATGAGTGTGGTGTAACCATAGAAACAAATGTGGCGTAACCATGGAAATGGGTGTAACGTAACCATGGAAGTGAGTGTGGTGAAACCATGGAAGTGAGTGTGGCGTAACTGTGGAAATGAGTGTGGTGTTACCATGGAAATGAATGTGGTGTAACTGTGGAAATGAGTGTGGTGTAACCATGGAAATCAGTGTGGTGTAACCATGGAAATGCATGTGGTGTAGCCATGGAAATCAGTGTGGTGTAACCATGGAAATGCATGAGCTGTTCTAAGCTCAACTCATTTTCATTGTGGTACGTAAACACTGTTAAAGTTAAACATTGTTAAAGTTAAACATTGTTAAAGTTAAACATTATTAAAGTTAAACACTGTTAAAGTTAAACACTGTTATAAAGTTAAACACTGTTAAAGTTCAACACTGTTAAAGTTAAACACGGTTAAAGTTAAACACTGTTAAAGTTAAACACTGTTATAAAGTTAAACACTGTTAAAGTTCAACACGGTTAAAGTTAAACACTATTAAAGTTAAACACTATTAAAGTTCAACACTGTTAAAGTTCAACACTGTTAAAGTTCAACACTGTTAAAGTTTAAAATTCTAGAAGTGTGTAATTAAATTTGGGGAATTTAAGGAGTCAATTCAGCATTTTTGTTACAAATTGTGTTATCAGGTTGTCAACGTGACAGTTTGAGCAAAAATCTGAATTTTTGAGATTCACATCAAGGATTTCTTAGTATTTGGTTTGTCATTCATTTGCTTTAATGACAGTTTGCCTTGATATGAACACAGGCTTGTGTAAAAGTCCCTGATGAACAGATCAGATCCACCTATGATCAGATCCAGCCTCACTGGAAGAGATCAGACTAGAAACACTCTGAGCTTTTTGTACCTCAACATGGCCAGTGTCACAGATCGAGTTTGAACAGTGATCCAGAAATAGAGCAGGATCTTCAGACTTTCTTTCTCATTTAACTTCTCACAACTTTTCTTTGTTTTACATTTTTTTCCAATATTGTAAAACTTTCTGTAGTTTATTTCCAGGATTAAATGAAAATGTGGTCTCAGACTTTTGGACCCCACTGCGTATCCTCATTATATCATCACGTATTATTATTATTAATATATACTAAATGCACAGTTACTTTCACTTAATCTTAATAATAATAAATTAGATTAATTAGTAGCCTAAGCACATTGTTTAAAATCATTTATCTCAGCAGCCAACGTCTTCTTGCTTAAAAAACACTGTTTATAATTAGAATAAATGCAAATAAACATAAACACGGGAACAAAGCGACAAGAATATATTTTTGTTTTCAGTAAAGATGTTGATATGTAGCGAGCTGGTTAGAAGATGACAGGTTTGGCTCCTGAACCTCGCTGCTCTCCAGCCATCACTTTGATTTGTTCAATTCTATCACCTGATATAAAATAATGAATTATTGATTAGATAAAGCAGGTATTGGATAAAAACTAGAAATAATACTGAGCTGCCAAGTTTGGAAGTGGTTAAACAAACACACTGACATACATAAATCACTACATATTATATGAATAGTATTAGTATTTATTGTAATATTAATGTTTTTTTCTGGCCAAATAAAAACTCACTGACCAGATAAGCAGATTTTTAAATACAGAACAATAACATTTCCTCAGGTCCTTACAGTATTTGAACAGTACTATATATATCAACCTCTTTTTTCTCCAAAATGGTAACTTTGCATGTAAAATGTTAAGAATTAAGAAGTAATTTTGCATCATTTCTATTGACCTGTTTTCAGAAATTTTCTCCCAGTGTAAAATACAGCTGGTGTCAAAAAACAATGAGAAAGTAAATAAAGAGTCTGAAATTTTTCTATTTACAAAGTATTTCATTCAAATTGAGGGAGGACATTAATGCTTTGTGTATGTTTTGTATAGTAATATGCGTTTTTGGGGCGTGAGCTGCAGAGACAGATGAGACGGATGCTAAACGAGTGAGCATTGTGATTGATTCGTGCTTAAAGCCTTCCAGTCTGCTGAACGCAAGTACGAAAGCTCCAGCTGGGACGGACACCTCCATCTGAAATCGATAGTGTTTACCCACGAGCCTCTGTTGACCCCTACAAGCTCTGGTGGACGGCGCTGACAGGAATATAGATGCAAAGAAGGGGGGGGGGTTGATGTAACGACGGCGGTGAATGGAGCTGACGTCGGTGCAGTGTTTCTGATGAGCTACATTAAAGAGTCATTCTCAGTGCGGCGCAGGAGATAATTACTGACCGCTCCGAGTGATAATGCGGACGGCCCGCTGCGCGGCTAACACAGTGACTGTGTCATCAGAAGGTTTGAAAGGGAGCCGGTCTTTAATCTTTAGCCAAGCGTGCCTGAGTTACTAAGTGTCTGCTTATGTACAGAGCGCACCGTCCTTTATGGTACCGCACTGACACTGAATCGGTCAGTGAGTCCAGTCAAAGTCCTTATAGGAAAATCTGTTCACGCGGCGGCCATCTCTGAAACGCCGCCGGGCAGTTATTTCCAGCCAAACAAGACCAGACTCCTCTTTCTCTGAATGAGGAGAGAAAAGGTCAGATTACTGTTTCAACACAGTTGAGATCACTGATAAAATCTGACAAATCTCTCCTAAATGGTTTGTAGCGTTTGGCTCAACACACAGAAAGCGTGTGTTCTGGGTTGTTCTGGCTACTGCGCTTCTGCCGATCTGCACAAGGGGAGGCTTTCCCCACTTGTGGTGTAACCAGCGAGCTCATTGCCTCTTTTTCTTGAAGGGCGGGGTTTTCCCTGCAAACAGGTGCCACGTTGAGCATTTTAAGCTTTCCCATTCATATTTCAACCAGTGACCGTCTCCTCCTCCTTTATAACGTCTCTGGTACAGTTCAGTCTAATAATCTGCTGATTTAGCGTACAGTATCGTCTGCTTTAAACTTCAAAATAGTGTAGGGGGTGTAGTGCTCCCGAGTGGCGCAACCGTCTAAGCGTTGGCCCTCTCATCAGGAGATCACGAGTTCGATCCCTGGTGATGCTACAGCCATCCATAGCCGGGAGTCCGAGAGAGCACAACTGGCCTCGCTCTCTCTGGGTGGGTAGGATGGCCCCCCTTCTCCCCCCATCACTAGCGCGATGCTAGTCGGCGCAGGCGTCTGTTAGCTGACGTAACAGATCTGGCGGTTGGCGCTTTCCTCCGAGCGCGTTCGGCTGTCCAATGACGTTGCATGAGCGGCAGCTCGAAAAGAAGCGGTGGCGCTTCACAGGTTTCGGAGGAAGCCTGTGTTAGCCTTCACCCTCCTAGCGTTGATAGTATCGTGTGATTGGGGGAGTCCTAACTAGCGGGTGGGATTGGAGACGACTAAATTGGGGAGAAAATCGGGTAAAAAAAAAGAATGGGTGTGGTATAACCATGACAACAGACTTAACAGAACCATTGAAATGGACGTAGCATTGCCGTGAAAATAGATGTAGCACAAAATGCATGTAATGTAACCATTGAACTGGTTCTAGCATAACTGTGGAAATGGTTGTGCTGTGACCATGAAAATGGTTATAGCGTAACCATGGAAATGTATGTGGTGCATCCATGGAAACCTTTGTAGCATAGCCATGGAAATGGTTGCAACATAACCATTGTAGTGCTTGGGGCATAATAATGGAAATGAATTTAAAATGGGTGTACTGTAACCATGGAAATGGGCGGGGCATAACCATGGACGTGTGTGGCGCAACTATGAAAATATAATGTTACCATGGAAATGGGTTTAGCCTAACTCTGGAGCTGGGTGTAGTGTAATCAGTGAAATGGGTGTAGCACGACTATGAAAACAGTGTAAAACCATGGAAATGCATGTTCCATTTCAATGGCTGTAGCATAACCATGGAGTCCACTGTACTAAAGCCATGGAAATGGTTAAGCATTCAATGTGGGGACAAAAACGCCCCTCCCCCAATCCCCCCGGGAAACCACCCATGATTGTACTCTGTAATCTGTACTATCAGGTTCAGTTGCACTGTTGGCCTTGTGCTGTGTGTTGATCTGAGGCCCTGGAGGGACGATATTTCATTCTCCTGTAAGCCGTATATTCATTGAACGATGATAAAGCTCTTCTTGACCCTCGAGACGACCTGTGATCACTGTCCTTTCACTGGCTCAGATACACGGCGTATCAGTCCAGGCTCTCGCTCTGCGCAGTGCAAAGGTGAAACCCTTTCATCACACTCTCCTCACTCTCCACAGAGCCTGTGTGCAGAAGTGTTCACACATGCACAGGTGTGATTTTATGGATGTGCTGCCAGAGCGGCCTTGATAGTGCCATTTCAACAAATAACAGATCAATACAAACTGACCCGTGTCAAATAACCGAGGAAGTTCTGTTCAGTGTTTCTGCTACGTTTTAATCATTTTTTACATTCTTTTTTAAAACAACCTCTAAATTCATAGTGCTGAAAGTTCCTCAGACAGAACCGGGTTCACGGAGGGAATGTGAGGGCAGCCGAGAGAAATAATTGATTTTAAAGGTGTTTTATTGTTTTTTCTCTGCAGGTTGAGGCTGACGACGTTCTCACTAAAGAAGAGCAGATTTATCTGCTGTTTAATGCCAAGAGGAAGTGTGAGCGAGCCATTAAATCCAGGCACAGAATACCCGGTGAGTGTCTAAAGCCATAGAAAATGTAATTTACACCGTTTGCCCTCCTTTTCCAATACCAGCCGTGTGTTTTTACCCAGCCAAGACACCAGCACTGGAGCTACGAGGCTGATGTAGCTAATAAATTATAAAGCTTAAACCCCACCAATTACCATGGTGCTAACCGCATAACGTAAGAGCACGGCATTCCATACACTTCAGTATTCCGTACACTTCCGTATTCCGTACACTTGCAACTCTTCCTGTTTGTGTAATAACACATAAATAAACACTTTCTTGACATTCGTCAACAATGCATTTGAGACAGTAGTCTCATTTCCATGCAGCCTAATAATCCAACTAATAGCTCAATCAGAATAGAACACGTCCATGTAAACACCTCAATTGGAATAGTCTAGTCTGATTGAGGCCATTCGGAATACAGTTTCTGTCCGACTGATCGAGGTGGGTAATCCTGTAAATAATCCGTTAAATAGAAGAATAATATCCGTGTAAATGCCTGTATCTGATTACATTCCCTATCGGAAAGTTTAAGTCTGTTCTGATCATGTTCGTCACGTCATAGTGAAAGTTTATACCGTTCAACATGGCGGAGCAGAAACTGGTCTTCAGAGGAGACGAAGTTTATGCTCTGATCTTTAAAAGACGGCGGTGGGACGGACGTCCAGCTTTTGTGTCTCAGAACACGACGTCTTCCTCTCGGCCTTCTTTAATAAGGACATGTGAAGGACGTTTTCCTGAGTCTGACATCATTTTAAAGTCATTAAAAACACAAGCACTGCTCACTGCTGCAATCAGCTCTCAGTAGCAGTAATGCTAACCAATCAGCTCTCAGTAGCAGTAATGCTAACCAATCAGCGCTCAGTAGCAATAATGCTAACCAATCAGCGCTCAGTAGCAGTAATGCTAACCAATCAGCTCTCAGTAGCAGTAATGCCAACCATTCAGCGCTCAGTAGCAGTAATGCCAACCAATCAGCGCTCAGTAGCAGTAATGCTAACCAATCAGCACTCAGTAGCAGTAATGCTAACCAATCAGCACTCAGTAGCAATAATGCTAACCAGTCAGCGCTCAGTAGCAGTAACACTAACCAATCAGCACTCGGTGGCAGTAATGCCAGTGTCCTGCTGCCCAAAACCCGTTTGCTGTAGAAAAAGGAAACATACAGGTGAGTTTTCTTTGCTTTTTTAGTGAAATACATCCGTCTACTTTCTAAAATCAAAGGAAAGTTCTGGGCGAGTGATTAGAAACTATTAACTTCTTGTTTTTAGCCGTTTAGCTCCATTCACCCCCATTCATTGAGGACTCGCTCGAAGGCGCCCCCTGGTGTTTCGCGGTCATGCTTCTGATATAACGGGGGGAAACAGGAAAAGGCCAGGCTCCTCATAAACCGGCTATGTAAACTTTGTAACAGCGTTATTAGCCTTTGCAAGCTGTTAGCCACATTAGCCTCGTAGCTTCAGTGCTAAAACTCCAGACAGACACGTCTCGGCTGACGGGCTATATTTGGGATTTTGCCTCCAGTCATATTAGACAATGTATTTCGCTAACCGGCGGGTTTGTTATTGCTGTATTCTCCGCGGGGGTCCGTGTGAAGGGTCCTCAGAGCCGGTCAGGTGTTTTATTGAGTTTATGCAGTGTGTCACATCCCATCAGGCCGCTGCTGAGATGAAGTGACGTTGATTGAGTCGCGGCTGCCTGCTCCAGTCCATCAGCCTCAGCCAAAGCCAACAGGATCCATTAGTTTATATTACGCTGCCCTGACACTCCTCATTACAGAGACCAAGAAACACACTGTTACTGTACACGCAGAACCCTCGCGGTACACGCAGAACCCTCTCTACACACGCAGGCCGAGAAAATAACTCTGTCTGTACGCGCTGGCGCAGCTTCGGCCCTTTACCGCAAAGATCCTTCATCATAATAACAACGATCCTAATCATAGCACTAATAATCATAATAGAACATTCTAATTATGGAGCGCCTTTCATACTCAGAGCAGCTCAGAGTGCTTTAGAATCAGAGGATCTAATTAAAATAAAAATGAGTGGTAATTTAAACAATTACATCTATGAACAGTAAAAACAGTTCAAATGAGGCAGTTCAAAGTGCTTTACAATCAAACAGAATAACAAATTAAAATAAAATAATTGTTATAAAAAATAATCTAAAAATTTATTAGCAATTTATTCAAAAAAGCCAAAAATGAATTAATTTAAATCAAATAAAGAACGTATACAAAGAATTAGATAATACTTTCCTTAAACACAAACAAATCAATCAAGTAATGACATTTAAATCATATAATATAACATTTGAATAGTAGTTTAACTGATAAAAACAAAATCATATAAAAAAGATAAAGAAATCAAATCTCTCCCTGTCTCTCTCTTTCTCTCTCTCTCTCTCTCTCTCTCTCTCTCTCTCTCCCCCCCTTTCTTTCCCTGTCTCTCTCTTCTCTCTGTCTCTCTCTCTCTCTCTCTCTCTCTCTCTCTCTCTCTCTCTCTCTCTCTCCCCCTGTCTCTCTCTATCTCTCTCTCTCCCTCTTTCTTTCCCTGTCTCTCTCTTTCTCTCTCTCTCTGTCTCTCTTTCTCCCCCGTCTCTCTCTGTCTCTCTCTCCCCCCCCTTCTTTCCCTGTCTCTCTCCCTCTCTCTCTCCCTGCCTCTCTCTTTCTCTCTCTCTCCCCGTCTCTCTCTGTCTTTCTCTCTCTCCCCCCCTTTCTTTCCTTGTCTCTCTCTCTCTCTCTTTCCCTCCCTCTCTCCCTGTCTCTCTTTCTTTCTTTCTTTTTCTTTCTTTCTTTTTGTCTTTTCTCTTTCTATTTATTTTTTCTTTCTTTCTTTCTTTCTTTCTTTCTTTGCTTTTTCTTTTTTCTCTGTCTGTTTTTTCAGCTCGTCTCTCCCCAGGCCTTTAAACCAGCCCGTGTCGGTGGGCTCTGGTGGGCTTCTGTTGTTGCCAGATTGTGATTATTTGCCTGTTTTGCTCCTGTTAGTCTGCGTCGTGCAGCCAAACGCAGCAGCGTGGAAGCAGTAATTAAGTGAGTGTGAGCGCCGCTGCGGCTCAGAGCGGCTGGGAGACTGAAGGATTTACAGACCCTCGGCTCCCTCACAGACCCCCTGAGAGACCCCTGACTGTAACGGTCAGGGTTCAGTTAAAGGGCCAAATCACAGAGAACTGAACTCCTGCCCACTTTTTGAATAAAAACACTAAACCGGTCTTAAAGTCACAGTGACACAGGCCTGTGTGAACGATGGTGTGAGTTCGGACTGCGTTTGGGACGCAGCTCTGCAGGAACGCTGTAGTGGAGCTCAGGGACAAAAACTGAAGGAAGTCTAGGAACCGTTTAAGACAGACGGAGTGAACATGTTATAGATTATTGATCATAGATCAGCTCTGAGTGACTCTTCAGCTTTATTTTACACACTGGCTTACATATATATATATATATATATATATATATATATATATATATATATATATATATATAGCATCTATCAAACTTTAACTCGTGATGTTTTCTTTCTTTCTTTCTTTCTTTCTTTCTTTCTTTCTCTCTTTTTTGTTTTCTATTTTTCTTCCTGCTGGCTGTAAATAGTGATTGGTTGGCACATGATTTTAGCTGCGTTTAATAAAGTCTGCCTCCATTAAGTGGCTCCTGTATGGATGTTTAACTAGTCATTCTGACATACAGTACTTCACAGATATTTGTGTATGTGGTTATTATTACAGTGAACTACTGTATTGTAACACTGCTGCTAATTTACAGAGATAGAATATAAATTTCACAGATGTTTGTGTGTGTGGTAATTATTACAGTAAAATTACAGTCATTTCATTTTGCTTTTTACTGTAAATTAACAGGTTCGATTTTAACTAGTCATTCGGACATACAGTACTTTACCGTAATAATAACCACATACACATACGTCTGATATATAGAATTTACAGTATGTCTATTTACATTAACAGAAGTGTCAAAATACAGTACATGTGTTGTTTATTTACATGCATTTAACCTTGAAAATGAACAGATGAGTCTTGACCATGAAATTTTACAGTACTTTGACAGTGAAAATACGGTATGTCTAAATTTAGTGCAGTTGCATGCATTCACTCTCTCTCTCTCCCTCTCTCCCTCTCTCTCTCTCTCTCTCTCGCTTTCTCTGTACTATGTGCACAGGAAAGCTGGTCTTACTTACTGTTCACCGTGGATGAAGTGTCATGTAAATTGTAGAGCAATTTTGAGCTCTGAATGCAGAAAGACTCGCACACCGTCAGGCTTTCATGCTCTTTCAGTTTCCCGTCTGCATGTTTTTATAAGGGGATGCAGAGACCCCCACATGGTGCTGTAATGCTAATGCTAATGCTACATCTCAGCAGCTGTTGATCAGAATGTTGTTGGACAGAAACACTGAACAGAAACAGCAGGCGAGTTCACTTCTCTTCAGCGTAAACGTCCAGTTTCCCTCCTCTGATCTCCGTCACGTCTAATGCCTCTCGACATCTCTCTCGGCCTTTTCCAGGTCCCTCTCTCTCTCTCTCTCTCTCTCTCTCCCTTTCTCTCTCCCTCTCTCTCTCTCTCCCTCTCTCTCCCCCCTTCCACTTGTTTTTCTCACAGATGCCATTTTTGTTCTGTCCTTTAGTTTCAGACTGTTTTTTGTATTTTTTTTTTAATCTGCAATAACGTTTTGGTAAATCTGTGAAAGTCTGTCAAAGGACTGTTTTTAAGCGACTGAACTGTGATCCCACAGTGTCGTGTGTTTTTATTCCCAAAAAGAGGCTCCTACATCTGTAATAACAACCTTTTCGACTGAGAGAAATGATTTTCTGTCATCGTTCAGAAGGGCTTGGAAGTCTTTGTAAAAGTTTATGAGTCTGCGACTGCAGTAATAAGAAGTTGTGCGATCATAACAAATCATCCACTGTGTCGTTACCACAGAAAGTATTCTTAGATATCCTGCCTCCAGTCATTTTATGGCCCGACCACAAAGGGAAGCCAAGGC